TTTCCTGGACCGGACATTTTGTTTTGTGTTTTATCAAGCTTATAGCTGATTGTTTTTTGGTGTGTTTCAAATGAATCACATATGGTGGTATTTATAGAAAATTTTCGAATCTGAGAATTTACTAGGAAATTGCTAGGAAAAGTAGGTACAAAACACGTTTTTGATTTTAATTCGATATTTTCTATCCACTTCCTCCTAAGTTCGTAGTAACAAAATCTTTCCTCCTAATTTCCTAGTAAAGTTACTAGGCCTTTACGAGGAACTAGCTATGCCTAGTAACATTACTAGGACTTTACGAGGAAAAAGCTATGCCCGTGTTTCTACTTCCTCGTAAAGTCCTAGTAACAATTTTACTAGGACTTTACGAGGAAACTGCTAGGAATTATTTTCAAAACTAAATTTTCCCTAAACTAAACCATCTATAATCTAAATTCCCAAAACTCTAACCTTAAACCTAAACCCTAAACCCTAAACCTAAACCAACTTCCATAACTTATACCTATACATCTTCCTAAATCCCAAATCACTAATTTTTTTAAAAAAACTAAAAGAAGTATACAGTCATCAGAACGGTTTTTATCAACCCCACATAGCTTTCCTCGAACTATCTACCCGAGGAAAAGTTACGAGGAACTGATAAGAAACTATTATGTTGACTGTGAACTCCTTTCAGTTATGAATTGAGTGTTTTCTAATTGTTTGGTGTGTTTCAAATGAATCACATGTGGTGGTTTTTATAGAGATTTGAGAATTTACTAGGAAATTGCTAGGAAAAATAGGTACAAAATTTAAATTGGATATTTACTATCTAGTTCCTCTTAATTTCGTAGTAAGAAAACCAGTTCCTCCTAAGTTCCTAGTAAGGCTTTACTAGGACTTCACGAGGAAATGTTTTACTAGGGCTTTACGAGGAAAGTGACTTTTTCCTCGTAAGGGCCACGTAAGCTTACTAGGGCGTTACGAGGAAACGTATTTCTCGTAATTTTACGAGGAACTTACGAGGAAAGCTGGTTTCCTCGTAAACTGGAAGTAAACGCGTAGTAATTTTACGAGGAATAATTTTCCTAGTAAAGTTTCCTAGTAAATGCTTAGTTTTCTTGTAGTGTTGGTAACTAAAGAATGATAAAATCACAGAAAAAATGTTATTTGATTGGCCATGAACACGTATAAAAAATGGCATGCATCTCCTCCAAGCAAAGAAACAACTATTAAGTTGGGATTTTTACCAAAAAAAAAAAAACTATTAAGTTGGGAAATTGGGATTATGTGATCGAGACGAAATTATAATTCTTCCTTAATTTGTATCCAATTTAAGAAAAAAGTTCCAAGACAATCATGTCAACAGTTTCTAAGATATATTTTTTTGGCAAAATATCGAGACGAAATTAGTTTTGTTCAACCGTAAACATCATTGGTCTAAGCAGTAAATGAGATCCGCAAAAAAGTCGTAGGGTTGCAAAGAGCAACGAAGACTTAGTGGGGTGAGATAGGGGATGGGGTCCTCATGAATTGGTCGTGCTCAACAAGTAGTCCCCGACAGTCAAATGAAGATGGTCTCCAAGGACCACACTCACCACTGGCAGCTTCTCAATGCAACTTATAGTTATCTGCTCATACAAGGCAAAAAAAACAAAAAGGATTTGATTTAGGCACAACAACAATCTTAGGGTTCATCAAAAGCTTAACGATCAGCAATTTTTTTTGAGTAACATACCTTCCCATTTCCTTGTTGGAATTCTGATTTTAAATTCGAATGGTCCCGTGATAACAAGTAGGCTTGAAGCCCCCTTGCAAATTTCTCATCTCCTAAAACCCATATATATACATGCATTCGTTAAAACAGAGAGAGAAAATGAAAATCAACAATTATTACTTGTGATCATAAGATGGTGATTTCACCTGAATACAAGGCAACAATAGCATCTTCGTTGAACTTCAAAGCCGGACGAGCCAAGCTAATCTTAAACGATAGCTTTGAAACGTTTTGGAAACTCTCGTCAGATAATACCACCTGCAAAAATAACATTCATTACGTTTCTGGCTTAGAAGGCGTGGAAGGAGTGATGATGATGATGATGATGACTTACTGCATGAGATGGCATCAACGTAGACGGAAGCAAAGATGAACCAATTGTATCCTTAATGTATCGTTCCTGCCCACAACAAAAAAAAAGGGATGAACGGTAAGATACTAGCAGTGCACTTGACAAGCTGGAAACTAACGAGTAAGGGTTGGTTTTCAAAAGGAACCACACAACGGATTAGATAGATAGAAGCTTTTAAGTCAAACGGAGAGATACAAAACCTGAGAGCTCAGAACTTGTTGCAAAGCAGATTCATCCTTGTCCAATGATTCAACGTACACTTCCACAACGTCTGTTGGTTCCAGACCCGACTTCTTCCTTAGTTTTTGGACCCTATTGACAATCTATATATACAACACATGGAAACAACAGCTCATAAGCACAGCATCGGAAAATTGATTAGATACAGAAAATGGGAAGGGAACACATCGATTATCTACAACATTCTTATAAGAAAAATGTATTTTCCTACGGTTTCATCTATAGCACCCGTGCGGCATATTTACAGGAATATATATATATATATATATATATTTACCTCACGAGAAACACCTGCTTCATACAACGAATCATCTGGTCGTAGATCCAAAAGCACCAACACATCACCTGCATCATTAACGAACGCAAAAGGTTACGTGTTATCATTACCAGTAGAGCACCCGTAATCAGATTTAAACAAACAAAACAAAATAGATAAGGTAATAAGTTACCATCTCCATTTGCATCAATCTCCGTATCTTTCAAACCATCCGGACGTTTGAAAACCCTGACAATCTGAACAACACATGAAAGAAAAAGTGTCAGCATTTAGCTATTTACAGCATACTCTTCATTCTATCCCCACAAGAAAAAAGCATAGGATCATGAGATGATGATACCTTGATATCTGTTAGCCCCAACGTGTGTCCAGCAATAGTAACTTTTCCCGTCTCCTCGAATCTTAAGATATCTTGCTGAGACATTTCTCTAACTTCTTTTGCCACGAGCCCCATTGACTTCCCAAGCCGTTTTCCCAATACACTATATATAGAGTAATGAATTAATCAGAATTGCTTTCTACATTGAGCACAAAAGGGTTAAAACGCAGGAAACAAACTTTTTGACCAAACCTGAAATCTGGTTCTGCCTTTAGAGACGCATACTTCAGAGCATCATTGCATGCCACAAGAGATCTTACATTAAGTTCTTCCAATACATACTGCAAAAACGAAAATCAAAATGGAAAGCAAAATGAAACAAAATAGCTGTTTTGCTGATTACATTAACAACCTCAAAAGTTACTTGTAAATATATTTATATAAATAAACTTCAAGAAGATAGACCACAGGTACCTCTCTTAGTTTTCCAGTTATGTCATCCAAGAATTCTGCATCTGGATGAACTACAGTGATTTCCCTGATATAACAAGGATAAGCTCATGTGTTACTCTTTTTTTATGTTCAGTATAGGCTGACCAAAACAGTCAGCTGCAAACGAGAATAGTGATAAAGTTCAACGCTCACATTAGAGGAGTTTTCAAGGGTAGCTTGTGACGCTCACGAATGTTCCGCGCAAGGTCAATGATTGTCATCATCCTTTTAACACTTTGTTCAATCCTCTCATCACTCTGGTTAAATACAAAAATGAAATACAAATAAGCAAGAAGTCATGTTATCCTTTGGATACAGAGAGAGATGTGGACTTGAGTATTTTACCGTTCCATCCGCTTCCGGAAAACTGCAGTAATGAATGCTTTCCTCAGAACCTTCACATGCTTTCCGCAGATTCTGGTATAACGTCTCAGTGAAGAAAGGTGTAAAAGGGGTCATCACTTTGCAGGAAGTGAGAAGCACCTGAAAATCCAGACACAATTGTTAGTCATTAAATAGGTCAGCGTGAAAACAATAGTACTCCCACAACTATTTACTATATACATTGTATAGAGTTGAAAGAGCAATGTGACAATCATCTTCTCCTGTACGGCCTTTTAACCTCTTGCGGTTGAATCTAACATATATGTTAGTGAGATTGTCGAGGAACTTGAGAAGATAAGGAACAACCTGAAAAGGAAATAGATGTGATAAATACCATGAGACATTGATAAATTTTGTAAATAGACATGTAAGTAGAGCTTACAGTATAAAGCCGATAACCATCCATCTCCTGGCGGACAAAACAAACAAGACTCTGAGTAGCTGAGTGAATCCACTGATCGAGAACGTTTGATGACCGTAAAGTTGCCAGGTCAGTTGGAACAAATGGTCCAGAACCCTCAGTCTCAACTCTCTTTGCATTCTGAACAAGGAATCTGTATGCATTGTACCATGGAAGAAATACATCTTTGACCTATAGTGATCCCCCAATACAGAGACCAAAAACAGTTCAGACAAACAAAGGATCTCTACTCAAATAAGCAGCAATAAAAATTAACAACCAAGATAACTCACAACACCAAGTACTCCTTGCTTTCTGAAGCGTAGTGACTCAGCGCGTACGATTGGAGAATTTATGAGGTACAATCGCACAGCATCCTGTCATCATCGTTCACGTAAAGTTAGTTACTAGTTGATGAAGTAAAAAACAAAAAAAAACTGAAAACGCAGTCTAAAATCATATTACAGGGCTAACTTACAGCTCCATACTCATCTATGACTTCCATAGGAGGCGGATAGTTCTGTAAAAGCTTACTCATCTTTTTTCCATCCTCAGCAAGCACAAGACCATTGCAAATCAGATTTCGAAATGCTGGCTTTCCAAATAGTGCAGTCGACAGCACCAAAAGATGATAAAACCTGTATATGCCAAACCAGTAGTTTAGATTCTATTAATTGCCTACTTGGCAGAAAAAAAAAAAAATTTCTTTTCCAATACAATGCCAAATCCAGAGATGATTTTAAATATTTCAAGTTTAACATATACCATCCACGAGTTTGATCAATGCCTTCAGCCACAAAATCACCAGGGAAGTTCTTCTCAAAAAGCTCCTTGTTTTCAAAAGGATAATGGATGTACGCATAAGGCATTGACCCACTCTCAAACCAACAATCAAAAACCTAAAAAATTAATAATAAGCATCAGTGTGAAATAACCAAGGATTATAAGATAAAATGAAAGAGAGCACGGGGTCCATCATACGTCTTCGACACGACGGAGGACACCAAACTCAGGCCCACGACTAGATGGGATTGTAATTTGATCAATATGGTGACGATGTAGATCGAAGACCTGCTTCACCAGAAATACAAAATGAGCACCAGGATTTTTTTTTGACAAGTAGTTGCAGGAGAAAGATAGACAAACAAAACAAAAGAAGAGACCTTGACACCAGAGAGCTTTTCAAGCTTCTCGACGGAATCCATGACGACAACTTCCTCACCATCATCACTGATCCATATTGGTAGAGGCGTGCCCCAAAACCTACTTCGGCTAAGGCACCAATCCCTTGCGTCTTCAAGCCAATTGTGAAAGCGTTTATCCTGAGTTGCAGGGAATAAGGTATTAGAATAACTTTATTAATGTCATGAACTCTAAAACTGGTAAAACTTGTAATGTATATTATAGAGTATTGATTCTTCTTCCACTGACCTTCACATGATTTGGCACCCAGTGTGTCTGCTCATTGTTTTCTAACATCTGTGCCTTCAACTGCTCATCCACCCGCATGAACCTGACAGGGCAAACGCAAACAAAAACTTCAGCATCCTAACCATGCAACAACCAAGACCTTAGCTTAAGGTCATACGAAGCAAGCAAGAAGCATACCAACTGGGACCGGCTCTATATATGATAGGAGTGTCTGTTCGAGGGCAAAATGGATATTCGTGAGTAAAGCTCCCACTTTTAACAAGTCTGTCTTTGGCCTGAGATAACAAGAAATATTAGTTAACAATAAGAAGCGGGGCTTAAAATTAATAATCCAAATGCAAAATCAATACTCACCTTCACGGATTCAATGATGTCCTTCTGTGCATCTTTGACATACCGGCCAAAGAAATGGGTAATCCTCTCAGTAAACAACCCATCCTCATCAACAGCCACAACTAGACCCTCACCCTGAAATACAACATACATTTACCGTTATGAGAGCTCAGAAGCGTAAAGACAAAAGCATGGGTCCTTAAACATATTGTATGCCTAAACAAGAGAGAAACAAACTACAACTTTTCTAGAGTCATGTCCGACATTTAGGGATTGATAAGGAGAGTATTAGTCAAAAAAAGAGTTACCTTTTCAACGATGTTGTTCTCAATACAAACACGATAATCGTCTTCACCAAAGGCAGGAGCATAGTGGACAATGCCAGTACCATTTTTATCAGTGACATGATCATCTGCTACCACTCGAAAGGCCACACTTGAGAAATCATTAAAGTAGTCAAACAACGGTTCGTACTTCTTCCCAACCAGTGAAGCTCCATCAAATTTCTCCAAAACTTCATAACAATCACCACCTTTGGCTTGAGGGTCTTTGGCTTTCTTGGCATCAGCAGCATTAGCTAAGTTGGGCTTGGGGTTATCATCGGGAAGAACTGAGAGGCAAGATTCAGCAACCACGTATACTTTCCCACTCTTCTTGTTACGAACTTTGAGATAAACAATCTTGGCATTGACACACAACGCAAGATTGCAAGGAAGAGTCCACGGAGTAGTAGTCCAGGCCACAAAAGCAGCATTATCTTCAGCACCAATAACTGGGAACGTCACCATAGCGTCAAGATCTGAAACGGACTTGTAGCTATCTTTCACTTCTGAATTAGACAAGTGTGTTTTCAGCCCAGTACTAAAAGGCATAACCTGCACATAATCGATTCACCAGAGTTCAATCAAAAGGCACAGTTCATAAAGAAACAAATGGGGGGAGGGAAAGCAAGCTACAAAACCTTGAACCCTTTGTAGATAAGATTCTTATCAAAAAGCTGAGCAAACACCCACCAAACACTCTCCATAAAAGCTAAATCCATCGACTTATAGTCATTCTTGAAATCAATCCAACGACCAGCCCTAGTAATCACCTTCTCCCACTCCTCGACGAAGAGACTCACAACACTCCTACACTCTTCGTTATACTTATCAATCCCCATCTCAACCACTTGCGCTCTCCTCTTAATGCCTAGCTTCTTTTCAATCACTGTCTCGATGGGGAGGCCGTGACAGTCCCACCCGAAGCGACGCGTGACGTGGTGACCAGTCATGGTCTGGTACCGAGTAACGATGTCCTTGATGGTCCCCGCGAGGATGTGGCCGTAGTGAGGGAGACCGGTGGCGAAAGGAGGCCCGTCGTAGAAGATGAACTCCGGGAGATGCTCCGTTCGTTTGAGCTGCGTCTTGAACGCGTCTATCTGAGTCCAGTACGAGAGGATCTTCTCTTCCTCGCCTGGGAAAGAGAACTCTTTGCCTTCTCCGACGTCTTCCATAGCTGGCGTGGCGGCAGAGATAACTTAGGGTTTCAGAGAAATTAGGGTTTTTGTTTGTGATTGACAGTTACAAATCTGCTTTTGGCGCACAAGGGGTTTATATATGAGGGGTCTCTCTCTGCCTCCAACCTTACTTTTCCTTTTGTCTGCGTTACGAAAAGAAAAAAAAACAAAAGAGAAACTTACCGTTAAGAAAAATAACCCAAATCCCTATAATCTTTTAATTCTAAACAAATGTCACATTAGCATTTTAATAATATTTTAGCCTCATGTTTAATTTAATTAATAAATAGAAATGAACTATGACGAAATCCCTGAATTGACGTTTACTCTTTTTCAGGAAGTCGCGATTCTGAGACGAGGGAGTCCAGATCAAAGTTGAAAATTAAATAAAAATATTTGTAACCCTATTGTTTTTACACTAACCCTGACCTCTATTGTTTATAAATCTAATCTTGTTATAAGTAAGAAGAGAAGAGAAAAAACTATTGATGTGTCTTATTCTATGAATAATGGATCATTTATATAGGATTACAATAGATTGGGGACAAAGTTTAATTTGGAGTAGAGAACAAATAAATCTAATACTTTCCTTAATGGACAACACATAATATTCATAATATTCATACTTTCCTTAATGGACAACATTTACATAATATTCCTTAATATTGTTTTAATAAGAAATGTTGTCTTTTAATTATAAATTTACATAATAAGTATTAGATTTAGTTGTGATTTACATAATAAGTATTAGATGGTGTTATTCAATCATGTATTTTAAAACAGTTTAAATCTAAACACAATCCATTGTTATTCAATTGATGATTCTAAATTTTATTTTAAAATTCAGTGTTATTCAATCTATGATTGAATTTCAGACTCTAAAATCTGGTGTTATTCAATTTTTAAGGATTTTAAAATTCTTTGTAATATAAATGGACTTCAAATCATTGATGATGGATTCTATTGAATAAATTATTAAATTCAAAATCCAAAAGGTATTGCAGAGATTTTAGAATCCATCAACTTTAACAATCTTAAAATTTTAAAATTTGATAGATTGTAAAATATTTAGAATTGATTTTAAATCACTAATTGAATAACATCCTCTTAGATTTAGTTTTCATTAATAACATTTACATTTCTTATTAGATTTAGTTGAAGTATTAGATTTACATAATAACATTTACATAATAAGTATTAGATTTAAATAATAACATTTACATAATAAGTATTAGATTTATATACTTATTATGTAATAACATTTTAGTAATAAATGTAATAACATTATGTAATAACATTTACATTTCTTATAAAGGTCATTAATAAGAAATATTATGTTATTTAAGAAAAAGGGAGACTCATCTCTATAATATTATTTGAGAAGTCAATTTCTTAGATGTCGTGCTCACGTTAACTTTCACGCTGGTTGATTACTATGATACCCCTAATGAATTAAAAATATATTTAAATATTATTATTTCCTTTTTAAAATCTTCCAAATAATAATATAAAAGAAAAAGAAAATATTTATAAAATTTACAAAACTATTTAAAAACGAAAAAAATAAGTATATATATAATATGGTTTCAAAAAAAGGAAAGTTTACAAAATAGTAATATTTAACTTAAATATATTTTTAAATATTATACTTTTTAAGTAATTATACTTTATATCTATATCTTCTTAGATGAAAACAAATATTTGTATATAATGTGTTTTCATAAAAAAAATCATACAAATAATCTTGATATTAGAAAAAGAAATATTTTTTATTTACAAAAATAATTTAAACAATAAAATATATATATATTTTCAAAGTAATTAGTTTTTGTATATATCTATCTATTTTATTAGATGATTGCATAAAATAATTAAGTAACATAAATTAATATATGTTTAATTGACAAAACAAAATTATAATTAATATATTTATTTGATTATAATATCTTACAGTTACAGCAAAAAATATAAATTATATTTTACTTATATAATATAATTTCCAAAAACAATCACATTTTTACTGCATATTTTAAGAGATATTAAAAAAAAAAAACTAAAAATAAATTTAATAATAAACATCTTTTCATCAAATAACTACAATCCTTTTAAAATATCATAACACTATATAATTTAACGAGGTAGATATATTATATTTTAATAGTTAAAATTATCAGTTTTCTTAATAACTCTTGTTTTGTTTAATTTTCTGTTTTATGTTTGTGGAATTTAATATAACCATAATCAAAATACTTAAGCAAATCAGAATACTTTATTTTAAAAATTATTTAAACTAATTTCAGTTTACCATCCAATCAATCTAACGCATAAATTATTTAAATTTTATAAAATATTCGACTATATCATTCAAAAATTTATCAGTTACACTTTATTTTCTAATATTCTTTAGAAATCAACATATAATTTGATAAATATTATGAAAATACATGTATATTTAAGCGATAAATAACTAATTTGATTTGACTTAACTAAAATAAAGAGTAAATAAATATTATGAAAATACATGTATATTTAAGCGATAAATAAAATTAATTTGATTTGATTTAACTAAAAATTAATTATACTTCAATTTTAATTTAAAAATAGATTTAACTCAATATACTCACAAAATGAATGACTCGACTAATCTAATTTATTTATTTATTTTTTTGACTAATATAATTTATATCCAAAATGAAACATCTAACTACAATAATAATAATAATAATAATAATAATCTATTTAATTTTATACATATAAATTAGAGGTTGATTCAAAACATATTAAAAAGAAAAAGAAAATATTAACCAATTACAATTTATTCTTTTGTATAATTTATATATATGCATGAGACTTCAAAATATTATCATTATATTCATTTATGTAATTTTGAATCAAACACTTCAGCTTATTATTTATTTTATTTTAAGCACAATATATATTAAGTTATACATAATTTAACTATAATATATTTACATATCTAAGACAATAACCAACCGAAATGAAAATAAGAAAATTAATCAAAGTTTTATTATATTTAGAATAAAAAATATTATAGCTTAATTCAAAAAATATATATTATGCAATATACCAAATTGACAACTAAACCGACTATTGATCCAAAAAATAATTAAACTGACAATAATATATTCAAAGTCATATATATAATTAGAATAATATAATATTATTAATATGAATTATACATATAAATTTATTCAAAACTAAAACTAAATATCATTCAATTATTATAAAATTTTATTTTATGAATATTCATACCCGTGTATTTGCACGTGAAAATCAGACACTTTAGTTTTTATTTTTTTCTCTCTAAGCACAAAAATCTTAAAATACATACTTACTAAGATATACTTATATTTCTAAGATAACAACCAACATAAATGTAAATAAAACAATTAATCAAAAATTAAAGATATTTAGAATAAAAAAGATTATAGTTGAATTCAGTGAAATAGATAGAATCCAATATATATATATATATATATATATATATATATATATATATATTTATATATCCAAATGATAAAACTGACTAAATCTAATATATCTACAATTATATATAACTAAAATAATATAATATTATTAATATAAATTATACATAAAAACTATAAATTAATATAAAAGTTAAAGTAAATATCAATCAACTATTATAATATATTTATTTTATAAATATTTATGTTCGTGCATGAGCACGGAAAAATCACCTAGTAAATTGGTAAATTACCCCACACCTTCCAATTTAGTCATGCAAAATATGTCAATAGATATAAGTTTAGGAATCTTCTATTATTTATAAGGAAATATGTCAATAATAGTTAAATGCATCCACAATATATTAACAAAAATCACAGATTCGTAATATGGAATATTTATATACCCTAACAAAATTTACACGTTATATATACTAGATAAATTTATTTCGATGTAAATTTTTAAAATTATATTGTTTAAAAAAAAAAGAAATTGTTTAACATTTTTATTTTTAATAAAATTCTTTATAATATTAATTTATGAAGCTATAAGTTTAGTTTTTCTCAAAAATTTCTTCGAAGTTTATATTATCTTTGCAAATTAAAGTATACTAATATTTAATCAAGCTCTTTTATATTACTTTATCTAAAAAAGAAATACTAATCTAACAAACAATAAAATATAGAAAAAGAAACACACACATGTTTGAAAAACATGTATAATATAGAAAATTTGAAACAATCTATTTGATTAAAACACGTATTATATAATATTATTATATTTTGAAAAATATTTACTATACATATTGTAAATATATGATTACTATAATATATACCAATTTACAAGTGAAAACAAAATGTTTATATAATTAACTATAAACGAAAACAAACACCCGCGCGGTTGCGCGGGTCAAAATCTAGTTATGTCTTAAATAACAAGGAGACCCTTAGAAACGGAACAAGTAAATATAATACTTTCCTTAATGGACAATACATAATATTTATAATATTCATACTTTCTTTAATGGACAACACATAACATACATAACACTTCCCCTTGATGTTCATTATAACAAAATGCTTGAAGACGCCGTAAATACCGCTTCATTAAAAAACCTTATTAGAAAAACCCTATGGAAAAAAACTTTAAAGGGTGTTATTGGTTTGTATATTTTAGTGGATTTGAAAATACAAATCAAATATAATGTTATTGGTTCTATGATTTTAAAATCCCTATTCAAATTTATTGTTATTAGTTCTATGATTTTAAAATCTATATTCAAATTCATTGTTATTGGTTCAATGACTTTAAAATAGATTTTAAAATCAGGCGTTATTCAATAATAATGATTTGCTTGAGGATTTGATTTTAAAATAGATTTGAGTGGATTTGTGAGTTAAAAATACAAAGAAGCAAATATTGAGTTGAACCTTGTTATTTTGATAGTGTATTATTGATTTTCTTAATAATTGTTTTCTTGCCCTAAGTTTTACGTACATATTATCCATGTT